ATTCCATTTTGCGTTTGGCAATATGTCCCTCTTTGAGGGCGGAAGTGGTGTAGTGACAAGTGGCGCGCTCACCACGCGAGCGGTCCGGGGATCAAATCCTGGGTCGTGAGTCGCCCGGGCCAACCAAGCCTTCCATCCCTCCGGGGTCGGTTAATTGGTACCAGACTTGTCTGGGAGGATAAAAAACACTGACTTGAACATCGGCTGGCCCCCGCAAGTCATTGTATAGGCCACATCGCATTCAAATGCCACTGCGAATGTACAAATGGAAGTAGAATGCGTGCCGCATCCCAAAAAGGGATTGATCAACGGCAAATGCTTTATCCTTTATCCTTTTTGTCCATCTCACTCGTCCCTTCTTGTGGCAGAATTTTTATCGTATCAGGCGCCAAGTGTTGTGCGGCCAGAGAGGCTTTCACTGGATGCTACGAATACCCCAGTTTTTTCACTTAACTATAGTTGCTAAAATGTTGCTTATTCATCTTGAAATTGTGTGTTGCTTTCGATGTCGTTTCCAATTTCCGACTCTCGAAACCTTTTTTGCCAGCTGTGGTCATCTGTTGGATTTTGGTCGGGCCTCTCATCCATTATACTTAGGGATGCTTCATTCGTTTCCCTCTTTTCCAGGTGGTTCCGCAATCAAACAAACCCGAGCTCCGCTCTGGTGAAGGCGGTGGCCCATTGGGGACCACATGTGAACGCCGTCTGCGTTATTGTGGTGCCAATTATTCTCGTCGTTATCTCCAATACGATGCTCATCTACACAATCAGGCAGAGGTAGCCCCTTTATATCGATTCGTGCGTGATTAATGGGACAAAACATTCCGAACATGACCACTTCAGGCAGAAACAGTTCAACACTCAAGCGTCTTACAAATCCGAATCACAAATGTCCGGGTCGCAATCACGTACCGAGCAAAAAGTTACCAGCACCGTTTGTGCCATAGTTACGTGCTTCACCATTACCCAGGTTGGGCTAGATAAATGACATCAACTAGGTGGGTACGCTGCATTTCACGTCTTTCAGGGCCCATCAGCTTTCATCAACATCATGGCAGAGTATTATCCGATCCATAGTGACTTTATGATTGCTGTGGTAAGCCGTCCATTTTCGTGTCTTACATTCAAAGGCCACTTTGGCTATTCAGGCGGCAGTGATTTCTACAATGGTGGTTTTGGGTAAAGCCGCTGACTTCGTCGTTCTGGTCTTTCAAGTCGGCAGAATTTCCCGAAGTCGCTTCTGGCCCGCATAAAAACGAAAGGTGCTTGCTTCGTTCGGGACAGAACAGGGTGAGTATCTCCCGGCCAATTATCACTTCTGATCTCTCCCAAGCTCTATCTGCCTGGCTTGAACACATCCCTCTGTGTCACCCTTTGTGCCTATTTAGGGCTTTGCAGGAGTTCTTACCATGGTTGGCACAGTTCAGGTCCGTGATGCTTGGCCTTGTGACGTTCCCACGTCAGGGTACGGACCGCAATTTTTTGCACTTCGGATTTCGGAAAAAATGGACCGAAATCTGACTTCTCTGCTCCGGCGATTCATTGTATGGAAATTTCATCTTCTAAGGAGCAGTAGATTGTCAGGAAAATTCTTCACTAGATGAAACTTCAACATTGACGTCAACTCTGCCCAAATAGCTGCGCACTAACTATTTTGTAGGCCCGCTGAGTGCCTTGCGCTCAGTTTGCAGGGCAAAGTGGTCTCTATAGACCAAGCTGGTTTTGCTTAAGCCCTGCGCAGTATCCCGTGTATTTTGATACTCTGGACTTTAGTACGAGATTTAGATGCAATCACATAGCTTCCTTGCTTCAAGTAAGCTCAACGCGTAGTGATCAGGAATGGCTGGAGTGGTACCTGGTATTCGGTGCGTGTTATTGAATGATCAGGTGGTCGCCGCGAGACTCCTCAGCGTATGTGTGTGGACCGTCCCTTAACGCTCTTCCACAAATGAAGTCCTATTACGTTACTAAAGCTGCAATGCTTCCCAGCTATCATAATCACTGCTTTATAGGCGCAGCTCATAGTCAGCTGAACGGTAATTCATGAGTAAGGTGGACCAAACTGCACTCGCAGTGATATTTTTAATGCCAAAATCTAAAACTGGGACGGTATGGGCCTAGATTGCGCTGGCCTAGATCCTCCCATGACTCTTGTCTCTTCCCTGGAATGAGCGCGAGCCGAGGGCGCTGCACTCGGCTCTTGTTATCTCTCGTCGTATAACTTCGTCTCTTCCGTACCAATTCCATCTCTATCTTCTTTCCTTTTTTTTTGCCAAAAGTTTACAGGTGAGGGGGGGGGCAAAAAGTTTTTTTGCCCAGGGCGCATATCATCAAACTTTTGTCGCAGAGGATGCCGCTGTTATTGGGAGTTATATGGCAAATTATTCCTTAGATGTCCCCCCATAAGCAGAATCAGGCCCACCTTCGCTGCGTTCACCGTCTCCAGAATATGACGTCATCTGTCATCACCGTCGAGCTCAAGGAGGCCTACCAATAATCGCTCCATTCCGAAGCTGCTACATAATTTCATTCAATCGGATAACTGGTGAATGGCTTCTTAGAGACACTAGCTCTGAATATGCAAATGGCTTTTGACCAGCGTTTCAGAGACGTCGTAATCGTCTATGGTTTCTCGACGACCTCGTTGAGCTCGTACCGCGCACCATGTTTCCGTGGGAAAATCTTCTGATGTCGTCGGTGTAGAAGGCCTTATGCAATTTTTTTGATAGAATAGAATGTGCTCTTCAATGCAATTGAGCTCATTCGGCTTTGGTTTTGGCAAAGTGTAATGTTCTAGCTTGGTGGAATGTGAATGGGACTGACTCTTTTTTTTTGCCCCCCCCCCCCCTGTATACGGACGTTTCTGCACAAGACGCTCTCGTCCGCTGTAAGCGTTTTGGTCGTTTTTCATTTTTGGTCTTCAGTGTCCACATCAGTGTCATATCGGCCCCGTAATGTCTTTGTGTGAAAACCTCAATATCACACGCCTGCTGATGGATGTCTTTTAGTGGTCGTTCTGTCCCACTTATTCACGCTAACACGACATAAGCACTGCCCCATGCACGGAATCATATATTAGTTTCGCTTGGCAACCTTGAACTGTTAGCTTTAGCTTATGCAAGTAAATTAAAATTAATCAGGGTAGATCTCTATCACGTGTCATTTTTACGCCTCACCGCGCGTGTAGACTTTGCGATCGAGCGGTCGCTTAGTGTGACGATCGCGTCGGAGTATATGCGAATAGCTTGACGACCGCCGATGCTAAGGAAGTTAGCTCCGATTTACATAGTCACATGACATCGGTTCCAAAAAGGGAAATGAGCAGAATCGCATTCTTTACTCATTTTCCCGCTGTTACGCTTGCCATAATAGCAGCCTCCACTCAAAAAATTCCCCTTCAACCTGAAGGGGATTTTTTAAAAACAGTTTTCTTTGTCCATCTAGGAAGCGTGTAATACATCTTCTTCGAAAAGTCTGTGAATTGAGGGAGGGGGAGGGTGCAGAAGTGCAAAATTCTTCTGAAGTTCCTGGAAAATTCCCTAAAACCATGCCATACCCGACATTTGCTTGCCTAATCTCTGCTAAAAATTTAACACAGAGGTGAAATAGTCCATTTTCACCTCAGACAAGTTACTTTTTGAAGCCATTAAATGCGACTACCTCGTTGAACTTTGGCTATGACCTCTAAAATATACCAAATCCTGATGACCTTGATGTTTCCACACCACCTTCCCCATTGATGCGACCCCCATAGCCTTCTTGGGCTCCCCATACCGGAAATCTATTCCCATCTTTGATCGCTGATGGGGTTGAGGATTCTATCCGTTGAACATGGACCGGAACACACTTACAGCTCCCTCTCCCCACTGTTTTTCACGGTTCACTGTCCTCCTTTTACATCTCCAACTACAATCCCCCAAAATTCCAAGGTTGGCCTCTATTGAAATCGTGAATATGACCTTTTTATCAAAGAACCCTCAGATACTCGGCACATACTGACACCTAGTAAACGAAGACACTTGAAACGAATTATGCAATTAGGTATACAACCTGCTCGAATGTCGACGTTTTGTCCGCAATCACGGCAGGGTACAGCCAGTGGGAAACTGAGGTGCAATTAGGAGAATATTGCAAGCTTATCGCAGGATTTGATCCAAAATGCACGAATACGCGCCGCAGGAATGTACAAAGCTTTTTTCGGTTCCATGTACTTGTGTTTTAAATGCTGTCTATGGCGTAGTGGTTCACTAGTTGAAATCAATTTTAGAACTCAATCGATAGCTGTTCATCTGCCAAAGAACGGCCGAAAATGCGACACGGCAGTACTTCTGCAAGCGACTCCTTGACAACTACGGTAATTAGTGATCTTAAGTAAACAACTTGTAGTAGTGGTTGTTTGCATGGCTAGATTGCATGAACGCACGATTGCATGGCTGTCTTTGCATGTTTGCTACGCTTCTGGGGATAAAGCTTGATCACAGAGATCAGGACTGGCTGATCCTGATTGGAATTTTTTCAGATTACTTTACAGTAGTATCTTGAAGTTACGCTAGCTTTGGCAAACCGCTTTACACTCTCAGAAACACCTGATAGCCAAAAATCGACCTCTGGGAGAGGAAAAATCGATGGATGGGCGGATGGGGTCCTAACACTGATTATGCCGGTGCGACTAGGCACTTCTGCTACTGTTTCAGGCAGTGAACATGATGGCTGAAAGGTGGCGCGGCTGCGATGACGTCCTCGCACGTCATTGGTGGAACAGGACCCTCAGCGCGCTGGATTGTATGGTTGGGACCGCCTCCCAAAGCCCTTCCACCAATCACGCTCAATGACGTCACAAAATCGCTCCGCCCTCCAGCCATCGTGTTCACTGCCTTTAACTCTACCGCTACGAGTCTGTGAAAGCCCTTTGTCCCATGTTCCATCTCTTCGTAACTATTAGGTAAGCTGTAGACTTGCGAAGAGTTTTGAAAGGTTGAAATTCCGCAAATTTTCCCTGTGATTCATATTCAACGGTTGAAAAACTAATCGAAGTATTTGCACGACACAGCACAACTTCAGCTTCACTTGTCTTCACCTCCGCACTCTTACGCACATGTGCCTAATTACGTTACGAGCACGCGATGCGGTCGCGAAGCGGTTGATTTAACTAACATTCGGCGACCTCCCTCATCACCCCTGTGATGTTTCTTGCAATCTGCGATTACACTTGCACACCTTTTCTCTTCTCCTTTTCTTCTCTGTTTCCTTCTCTTACTCCCAGCTATCCTCCTGTTCCAGAAACTCTGTGTGAAACCTTCTGTGAACTTCGTACTCTACACATTTCTTCAAGCACTTTTCCACAGTCCAGCCTCACTAAACAGTTTCTGGTCTGTACAAGAGCTTCCATGCACACTACTAATTTGGACTTCTACATATCAATGCTGGAACTTTGATTTTGCCATTATCAATTTTGCCCGTCAATCAAGTGATAATTTTGAGCCTTTATTCTTGATAGATTTTACCTCGTCGGTTCTAATCGAATGCACGTAGCATTAGATGGGACTGCCTGAACTACAAAATAGTAGTAATAGAGTAAGTAATCGCGGTTAGTGGGAATCAGGGCACAGACCTCGGTGAACATTCGTGACTACTACAAATCTCTTTTAACTGTCGCACTGTGTCCGGGAAGAGTCATAAAGACGCGGTTGCGGTTCAGCAAAAGCAGGATGTCCCGCAATGTTTCTAAAGAGAATGGACCAGGTCGATAGCATTGGCCTAGTTTACATGAACCTAAGCCCCTGTCATAATGGCAAGATTGCAGGCACGATCGTTGCCGCGTGTAAAAAGGAGGGTGGAGTGGTTTGACGCAACAGCCTCCCGACGCGCCGGCAGGTCTTTCGGGGAATCTCCTCTATAGAGAATTGCGCGGGACGCCCGACGTCCATCGCGATTTTCGTCATAAATATTTTAGCCGCATTCAATTTATGTCCCAGTTATACGCCAGTGTTCCATAACCGACATGCATGTTTCCGTTGATCTGCTCGCTTCACCCAACAATGTGGGCGAAGCCATCTGAAGGGCGGGCAAGTTTTGGATCGCAGACTTTCCCAATTTGGGTTGTTAGCTTTGGCTCGAATTGTCAAGGCCTCCTTTGGCTACTGGGGATATCATACTAACCATAGTGTGCAGGGGTTTTTCGGGTGCGATTTATAGCCAATTTTAGAGAACCCCGCTGACGCAAAGGTCCCTAATCCGACCGTGAGGCGGGCTG